TCAGGGGGGAGGATGCAAGGGGCAGCTGGGGGCTGCACCTGCCTGTGGCTTCATCTGCCCGTGCCCTGCGCCAGGGCTGGCGGGAGCATCGCAGGGTTGCCTTCCAGCTCGCTGGGGATACAGCGCAGGGACCGACCTGGCCGGGGACATGTTTGGGTGAAGGACACAGGAATGGCAATCCAGCAAAGTGCTGCGCAGGTTTCATCCCACCGACTCTTTCAGGAGGCATCTTTTTTACTGAGGATGATGCCAATTTCGAGCATATAATCTGATTTTGTGTGGAAAATACGTGCCAGGGAGAAGGGAGAGCCCCAGTGGGACTTCCCGGGAAATGGATGGAGACTTTTTCCTCCACTAGGAAGTGATATGTGGGCTTTGGGGAGCTGCTTTTGTCAGCTGCTCGACATTTTTATGGAGAGCTTCATCAAAAGCTGAACAGCCAAAAGGGTTTTTTTTGGTTGTTGTTTTGTTTTTGGTTTGTGGCAATAAAGAATCTATAGCGTTGGCAGGCTTTTATATAAGAAAAACATAAGAGGAAGACAGATGTTTGCAGCATTTTTCTTTTTTGATTGAAAAGAAGATCAATCAAACCCCCCTTCAGACAAGATTAGTTCTACCAGCTTCAATCAAGAGGCTTTCAGAAAGCGCTCTGCGTTAATAATCAATAACAGCAGCCTACATTTTAATAGTGCCCGTCATCTTGGGTAAACCAAGCATCTTTTATATCTAAGATAACCAAAATACGAGGACACGTCAGTAAAATTGCAACCTCCTCTTTGGCAGAAACAGGCAGCTGCCTAACAGCGCTGACCGAGCTGGCGTTCAGGACGGAGCTGAAGAGAGATTTGTATTTACAAGAAGCACCAGTGCTGTTCCTCTTCTTTCTTGCAGGGCTTGCCTTCACCACTGGTGGAAATTTCAGGTAATGTCTCACTGAGATGAACAACCATTTCATCTCTTTTGGGGCTGGCGTTTCAGGCTCTCTGCAAACTCAGCTATCCTTTCGCTTTAGCTTCGTGGTTGGCTTTGCTCTGTATCAGCACAGAAGCTGAAGAGTGTGCTTTTGGAGATGTTTCCATCAGGAGCTAAACAAAAAATCCTGCCCATCCCAAGTCTGGGGGGAGGTGGAGATCCAGGTGTGGTCCTGGATCCGTGCTCTCCCTCCATCCACCTCCGTCAACTAACTTGTGGGAGTAGTGAGGATGATGGGTTGATGTGGAGCAATGGTGACTTACAGGGTGCTCAAGATACTGTCCCAGGATAATTCACGCAACTCACAGCCCGTTCCTGGGGACCTTCAGGGCAGAAAGCAGCAGGACCGTGCCCCAGTCACCTACTCCTCCTTTGTGCATCAGAGGACGTCCCAATTATTCCTGTTCCCTCCTCAAGCCCCAGTACAGGCTGAGCCCACCAGCCCCCCTGCACTCTCAGTGTGCCCTTCCTCCTACCCAGAGCCGAGGTGGGCAGATCCGAGAGGACTGTCCACCCCTTTCCTTCTGCTCTGCCAGTTCTCATCCACTCAAAATTCACCTTTGCTCTTTTTCTTTTCCCAGCTAGAAATTGGGAGCAGAGAAGGCTCCGGGGAGACCTTCCTGCAGCTGCCAGGGCTGAGAGGGGCTGGGGAGAGAGATGGGGACGGACTTTTTAGCAGGACCTGTTGTGATCAGACAAAGGGTGATGGTTTTAAACTGAAAGATGGGAGATTTAGACTAGGTAGTATGAGGAAGAAATGTTTCCCGGTGAGGGTGGTTGAAACCCTGGCCCAGGTTGCCCAGAGAGGTGGTGGATGCCCCATCCCTGCAAACATCCCAGGTCAGGTTGGACGGGGCTCTGAGCGACCTGCTCTGGTTGAAGATGTCTCTGGTTACTGCGGGGAGGTTGGTCTT